GGGGGGGTCCTGTCTGTTTGTCAGTGTTAGCTGATACCATTCTTCAATGTTCCTGTAAAAATTGCACATCCTACTTTTCAGCATTGACTTACCTGACATTTCAATATCTGTTTACTTGGTAGGATTGCCCTACGACAAGCCAGAGAACGAGGCTGGTTTACCTACACTGACCTCATGGTGCTATCAGAAGATCCTGAATTTGCCAAACTAGCCACCTTTCTTAGTCAAGAGATTTCCAAGGTAAGCTTGCTCCCTGTTATGGTGAATTATCGTATTCTGTAGCATCCGTTCAGTCATGCTAATTTCTTCCCTATGTACACAATGTGATCACTGGTTTCATGTCCCCAGTAAATACTAGAAAATTTCTTCAAAATGTTTTGTTTCCAGAGCTCTCTATTTATCAGCATGTTTAATTTGACAAAAGTTCTAGCTGTGTTTGTTGATATGTAATGTTCTGAAGTTAAAATTTGTAGGTCTTAATAATCGTCATATTAATGAATTTTGACAACAATATTGACAGAAACTCCTAGTCCGTCTTTGCGTATTGCAGAGTTATCTTTTCTTGTGAGCAGGTATTGATTGTTACGTGATTGGTTTGTGTGATAAAGTTACGTCATTTTCTCAAAAATTGATGACGTTACTCTCACAAACAAGTGATGTAACATTCAATACCTGCTCCCAAGAGAAGATAACTCTGCAATACGCAAAGACGGAATACTGTGCAGCAGTTTACTTTTAAGGAGATAAAAATTGTAAAGATATATAAAAAGAAAATTGAATATTAAATTATGTAGATTACTTTAGATAAATAGTTCATTATCAATAAATAGTTCATCATCAAAACATGTATCGCACAGCAATGGTTGTCCATGGGATCATGTTTTTGCTTCAAACTGAAGGAAATTTAATACCAAGCAACTTTGAGTAACTATTGTTGAATTGTTTTGTGCTATAGGTGGTGCTTGTCAGCTCAGTTGCATACTTAGCCAGTGTGTTGACCATGGTGGGATCGACCCTTCTGGTCACGACCATGACAACAGCTATCATGATCCATGGTCCAACTGTTCTAGCGCCTCCTCTTCCAAACCTTCCACAAGCTGTACCAAAATGCCTGCATGGTCGCTGCAACGAAACGTCATTCTCTGTCATGGAATCCCCTGTAGAAGACACAGTCACGGTAGACGCCAACACTCCAGAACACGAAGGAAGTAGAGATAGGTTCTCCGTGTTGAAGAACACAGTTGACGGACTTCTCTCACTTTTCACTGTGGTTTCGCTGAGAGATACTTTCGCTAAGCATATATATAGTACTAAGGACAATAAGAACACTTATGATCAGGATTTGACCCATTACCCGAACCCGACAGAAACAGCCCAACGTCCAAACAAATCTGTGATCACCGAATATGGAGGGTTGTTTCATTCCGATGAACAGGCTCAGTACCGACTTCATGGTTGTGCTTCTTGTGGAAAATGCGAGTCAAACGGAAACAAAGAGAGTGGACATGTACAAAGGGAGGTAAATCCTGCTCGGTGTGTTGTGGATCGTGAGATCGTCTACGTGGGCTTCAAGGATTTGATGCTGTACGATCGCTTTTCAGACATATCGCTGGGGTTCACTACTGGACTGAAATCTCCCGCCCTGTTGCACACCTGATAGTGATTCTAACATCACGAAGTACACATAATCTGCAGAATTATTTGGGTCCGTTACCTTATGCAATTCCATAAAGTATTCCTAAAACAAAATTAACATTAAATGAGATGTAAGCCCTGGATTGAAAATTCTAAATTTAGATCTTCTTTAAAAAAAAAAGTGGTGATTAAAATTAGAAAGAAAAAAAATACTGAAAACATCTTAAAATTAAATGTAGATTTTACAATATTTGATTATTTGCAGAACGAAAGTTCACAAAAAAAGTTTTTACATTAAAGGGGTAAATCTGTAAAATGATACTTTGTAATCTTTTACAAAATTATTAAAATGCATAAAAAAAAAAATGCCATCTTAAAAATAAAAAGCTTTCTATGTCCTGTGCCATATTTAATCTTGTAGAAATTGTGTACTTTGTAATGTTGCTTTAAACAATACTGATGAATGGTCGGATGTTGTCATGTGTAACTACAAATATTTATTTTTGTGAAACCAAGGATCAAACGATAGGTCAGGTATGCAGTGAGGAGAAAGTGTTCATTTTATAAGCAAATTACATACAATTGCTAAATCAATATTGTGAATTAATTTCAAAATTGAAGATTTGTCATAGAGAATAAAAAGAAATGAATTCTTGACACCAAAATTGCCTTTTTAATAGTCGCATTTTATTTTTCAAAAAAAAAGCATATTTTTCTGACATGAGTCCACTGTTTGCATTTTCAATATTTGACATATGTAAATTTAAATGCAGTTAATGAGATCTACAATTTGTACTAGCACTTGAAAATCATACAGGAATAAATAACCTCAGCATCATATAACTAGATAGTGTTACTGTAGAGGATGTAATTAATTTACTGTTTAAGATATTTACTATGTATAACAGAACTTGATTGGGTATAATTCATTAGAAATATTGCTGATGAAAACCTTTCATTAAATAAAAAAGTTTGGTTTCTATGTAGTCAATCTGAAATTATGGCTAATTTAAAGGTAAAAGGTATCACTATTATGTTATGTTATTAACATTATCACTATAAAGATATATTTAAGGCATTTCCATATATATCGCATGTTTCAATGTTTTTTATTAGCCATTTGAAATTATGAGCTTTTGAAAATCTAAAAAAAAAAAACTGTAGGGTCAAACTCTGGTACATTTAAATGCAGGGATTTCACAACAGGCTTTGCCTATATCAGTTCTCTCCATCAATTACAGCTGATCCAGTTGTTCCCTTTACTGTAAGATGTGAATCAAGCGATTGACTTCTATTATTGCTGGTAATTATCTGTACAGTTTGGAAAGGTAGTAATGTAGATTTAAACAGTAATACACGCAGAGCTACCTGACCCTAGGACTCCACGTTAAATGGGGGTACCACCCATTTAATTTGATGAATAATTTGCTTAAAACTTCAAGGCAGGGAATTACCCAATTACACATACAAGTGATATATATATTTCGAAGTCTAGAGATCAAATGGATTTTTTAACTGGAATAATCTGCAACATGAAATAAATACTGTTGTGGATGTACTCAAGGGTAAATACAACCGTACTACCTGCAAACCTTAAAGAGTCCCACTCTATATTACTGGTTAATTATCTTTTGTGAAGGAATGGATAATCGGTGAATAATTTCACGAGGATGTAAGGGGAATAACTCTTTACTTGCAGGTATAATGGATGCAGTATTATTTATCCTTATAATTAGCCTAGACTTGACAGCATTCAAAAAGGAAGACGTTTAAAAAAAAATTTGACAATTTCTGAATTTTTTACTTGTTTGTACAGTAAATAATATATTATATTATTTCTATTTTCGTGAAAAAAATTCATTATGAATTCAGTTAACGTATTTGACCTAATAAGGGTGCCAATGTAGTGTAATTGACGAGTGGGATGCCTTGATTAAAGACTGATTTTCCCTAACTAACCTCACAGTGCGACTATTGTCCACAGCGACAGAGACATAAAAATCTGTCACACTCCTTAATTATTTGTCAATTGAATTCCCCGTCAAAAAGCAGTATATCATTCCAGAAGGTTACATTTGGTCACTGTATAAGCGGATGATACGTCATGGTAGCTTTATTGTGCTATCTGTTATTAAGAACAAGCCCATTTTGTTGACAAAATATGGAAGAATTCCCAGTCAGGAATGGACAATAAACCAGAACTGTATGTCTTATGCAGTTGCGCTATATTTTCAAAATCTCTCTTGAGCACCCTTATTATGGGGAAATATTGTATATTGCAAATATTTATTTGAACACATTTAAAAAGAAACAAATGACAGACAGCTCTTGTAACTTTCTGAATACAAATCCTTGTAATTGTCTTTAAAACTGTGTGGTTTACAGTAATTTTCTGTGAAATGATTCAAACGTGATACACATTGTGATAAAAATAAAGGTGCATATTCAATCTATTTCTGTGTTTATCATTGATGCTTGGTGGTTTAACTAGCATGGATTAATTATTAGCTAACCTGGCCAGAAGGCCCAAGTGTAAAGGTAATGGGATCTAATCATGATGGCTGTCACTTTTTAGCTCGCCTGGACTTTGATGAGCTACTGCAAACCGTCTATGTGGGTGGTCTATTGCCTATAAAATTTTACTATGGACAACTTTTCTCTCAAGTGTTGCTGATTTCTATCAAACTTCGTAGAAAATATTCCAATTATGATTAGCAAAAATATAAATTCTGGCTCATTAGGGGTAAAATTTACTGCACTAAAAACAAACTTGCAACAACCAGCAATCTGGTATTATTATTATGCAGACCCTTAATTTAATGTTCATGGTCTGCAAAGTTAGTGAAAGAAAGCTACTTTATTTGTCTATAAATGGGGATGCTTTGCAAGAAATTGTGCAGTATTTGAATGTATTTTTATACGACCGTCAAATTTGACGGTAGTATTATGGTATAGGGTTGTCCGTCCGTCTGGCTTAAACTTATGTTTGTCCGGCAATCTCCTCCCACATTTTTCGACCAATCTATTTGAAACTTGTACATTATAATCATGATATGAAGTTGTGTCTCACTTAAAAGAATTTAGATTCAACAATTTTTGCAAAAGTTATTGCCCTTTGATCATTTCAATATTTAATTTTTGTCCGGAGATCTCCTACATTATTCGACTGATCTCTTTGAAACTTGGTATACATTATAATCATGATATGGAGTTGTCTCCCTTAAAAGAATTTTGATTCGACAATTTTTCCAAAAGTTGTTGCCTTTGTTCATTTCAGTATTTGATTTTTAGCTCACCTGGCACGAAGCGACAAGTGACCTTATGCCGTGGCGCGGCGTCCGTCGTCTGTCCGTTCGTCCGTCCGTCCTTCGTCAATATTTTACTTTTAAATGACTTCTTCTTAATAACCGAAAGGCCTAGGCTGTCGATATTTGGCCAGAAGCAAACTGGGATGAAGGGCTACAAAGTTTGTTCAAATGCATGACCTTCACCCATTTTCAAGGTCACAGGGGTCAAATATGTTAAAAACTTTAAACATCTTCTCGATAACAAACCATGAGGCCTAGGGTACTGATATTGGGCCTGTAGCATGCTGGGATGAAGGGCTACCAGGTTTGTTCAAATGAATGACTTTGACCAACTTTCAAGGTCACAGGGGTCAACTTTATTAAAATCTTCAAAAAACTTCCTCTCAATAACCAAAAAGCCTAGGGTACTGATATTGGGCCTGTAGCTTGCTGGGATGAAGGGCTACCAAGTTCGTCAAATGAATGACCTTGACCCACTTTCAACCTAATGTCCTTGTTTGACATTCAAGGTCACAGGCATCAATGTTTAAATCTTTTAATAGGTTCTTCATGAATCAAACACTGATATTCTGCCTGTAGCTGTATTTTAGTCCAATTTTAAGATTACAAGTGTGAGATTAATACCAGGTGAGCGATGCAGGCCAATTGGGCCTCTGGTATTAAATTACTGGTCACATTGTTAGTGATTTTATGGAGGATTTTCTCGCCTGGTTTTGTTAGCTCACTTGGCCCTCATGGCATGGTGCTGCGTCCGGCGTCAACTTTTTACTTTAAACAACTTCTCAGTAACCAAAAGGCCTAGGATAATGATATTTGGCCAGTAACATGCTTGGATGAAGGGCTTCCAAATTTGTTCAAATAAATGACCTTGCCTTACATTCAAGGTCACAGGGGTCAAATATGTTAAAAACATTTAAACAACTTCTGAAAAACCAAGAGGCCTAGGGTGATGATATTTAGGCAGTAATATGCTGGGATAAAGGGCTACCAAGTTTGTTCAAATAAATGACCTTGACTTATATTCAATGTCACAGAGGGCAAATATGTTTTAAACATTTAAACAAGTTCTTCTGAACAACCAATAGGCCTAGGGTGATGATTTTTGGCTAGTAGCATGCTGGGATGAAGGGCTATAAAGTTTGTTCAAATGAATGACCTTCATCATTTTTCAAGGTCACATGGTCAAATATGTTCTAAACCTTTAAACAACTTCTTTTGAATAACCATGAAGCCTATGATAATGCCAGTAACATGCTGGGATGAAGGACTACCAAGTTCAAATGAATGAACTTGACATATATATTTTAAGGTCACAGGGGTCATATATGTTTAAAACCATTGAATGACTTCTTCTTAATAAGCAAAAGGCCAAGGGTGATGATATTTGGCCATTAACATGCTGGGATGAAGGACTACAAAGTGAATGAACTTTGCCCATATTCAAGGTCACAGTGGTCAATATATGTTTAAATCTTTAAATGATTTGTTCTGTATAAGGTTCAGGGTAATGATATTTTTCCTGAAGCATGCTGGGTTGGATGACTATAAACTCCGTTCAGCCTAATATTACAATGTCCTTGTTCGACATTCAGGGTCACAGGTGTCATATGTTTAAATATTTTAATAGGTTCTTATGAATGAAACACTGACAGTTTGCCTGTAGCTGTGTTTTAGTCCACTTTTAAGATTACAAGTGTGAGATTAATAGCAGGTGAGCGATGCAGGCCTATTGGGCCTCTTGTTTATAGCATATCAGCTAACCACTCTTATAATGATGCAGATCTTATTTCAATGTAAGAAAGTATATAACACTATATGGCATTCCACGGACGTATATTGTTCCAACCCGCGGTACTCTTGTTATTCAGGTAGCGCTGTCGGGATCCCGTGTCTAAGAATAGATTAATGTAAACAGCCGAATTCAAGGCTACGGCTATCGATACATGCGTTATTTCTATGAATTTAAAACAAAAAAGATGCTGTATGTAACACAAGATCGTACAATCATTACCAACAAGTTTTGAAAGGATTTAATTTTCATTACTACTGCCTGCGTCATGCCATTACCTGCTTTCTTACAAAGTCTTACACGTGTATTGCGATCCTTACTTTGTGCTGCCGTCTTTCTGCATTTCAAACAAATGAAACCATCCTCAACGAATTTCCCTGTATTTATGGTAATGTATTTGCGATTTACAACACTTTGTATTTTTTGCTTGACATTTTATTATTCTGGCGCAACAATCCCGCATTTGTTTTGTATTTCAGCATCATTTGGTATCCTCCAATTGGCCCTAGTAATTTTATCAATTATGTAAATAATACCGTAGATAAAATTACTTGGGGCAATTTGAGGGTAAAACAATTAATAAATATGTTTAGATGATGTCTTATCTACAAAGTGTGGCTGTACTGTACACATGTACAGTGTTTCTTGACATGATTCCATTGAAGATAAATCAATAATGAAATGTACCATTGATTTGAAAAACATTTTATTACTAAATTAAGGAAAAAGATCACATGCCTAAATATTTAAAAAAAAAAAAAAAAAAAAAAAAAAGGAACCTAAACGTTGATCAAACTTGCCCCGTCCACTTCGTCTGGTCACAAGTTAACACTGTTACACATTCAGCGACATCGGACATTGACGAAGATGGGAATACAAACTGTTTTAACCCAATGAAACACCTGTTGCAGTTTAAAAAACTCGCTCAACCATGTTTTTCATTATTTTGAGCCCTTTTCCAAGGGAGGATCACTTTTCCGGAATACGATTTGTTTTTGTATATTACATCACAGAATAAAAAAGCTTATTCAAAATTTGGTCCTTGGATGGGAAAGTGTTGAAAGATTGTTTTCTAAGTCTGGGGAACCCCATCACTTTCATAGATACAGTGAATATGGTTATATTTGCAGTATCCTATTAACAATACCTAATATATCAGCAGTTCAAAAATTCATATTCAATTGGTTTTTTATCTATTCTATGCGTGATCGCTGCTAGGAATTATTTACTCATTGCCGGTAATAATTTTTTCCTAAATTATTAAAGCAGAAGGTGAGCAAGGCTCGCAAGCCTTTTTCCCTCTCGGCTTTACAGGTCGTGGTTGCTGATATCGCAGATTTAGCTGCAGATACGTACCGCATCCACAACCCAGTCTTGGTCCCTAAGTCCGTTTCCCTTGAGAGGGATCTGGATAAGTGGCCGGGACGCTGTATTGACCAGGTTGTGATGGGGCCTAAGGAGCACTCTAAGTTGGAGCGTCTCCTTAGGCTGGCTCTCCATGTTCTGTCCTACGCAGACTGGTTTACTTCTGAGTTGCTGGCTGCGAGCTGCAAGTCAGTGGAGCAGCTCCCCAGCAAGGTTGAACTGATGGAGCGCCTCAGCCAGGCAATTTGCAATGCACATCTTGATGCGATGGCCTTACTGTCGGCTGCCATGTCACACCTTGTTGTTGCCCGCCGGTTGTCGGTCCTTTCTGGACTGCCAGTCGGCGATTCCTATCGGGCTACCCTTTTGGAGGCTCCCTTGACTGGCGAGGATTTGTTTGGCGGGGGCCTTCCCTCAGTGCAATCTGAGATGAGGTTGGACCCGTTTGCATCTGAGGATGCACGCTACAATTCGGCAGGCAAGGGCTCTAGCAGAAAGAGGCAGGCTTCTGTCTCATTCAGGCGTAGGAGGAAGAGGGCAAAGACGGCTGCTTTTCAGCAGCAGGCTGCCCCTCCGACTTCCGCTCCGGCAGAACGTCGGAAATCTTCCTTCCGCGGTAGGGGTTCCCATAGGGGTCGAGGCAAAGCCAAATTATCAAGAGGTAGGAAGGGTTCCTGACTCTTCCTTGCCCTTGCTAACTCCTTGTCCACTGTCTGTCGCCGCTCCCACGCCCTTGGGCGTGGGAGGCTCCGCCGATGTGGTTTGGGAAGGGCTTGATTGGCCCCTTCCGGACTTGCCAGTAGGCGGTCGGCTGTCCCATTTCGTTCCTCAGTGGAAAGAAATCACATCAGACAGTTGGGCCCTAGGGGTTGTGTCCAAGGGTCTCTGCATCCCGCTCCTTCGGTATCCACCTCTGGCGCGAGAGCCTATCTTTTTCCCTTCTCCTTCCGATCTGGGAAAGGTGGAGGCTCTCAGGTCGGAGGTTCAGGCC